AAGTTTGTATATCAAAGTCAAAACGTTCAGACCATTCTATAGTCAGCTCCCCTTGAACATGTAAATTATCAAACAAAGCATTTGGATTAGCTTATGAATAAATATTTTCATCAAATACATGTCTGGAGATATAAACTCGCACTGTGGGTGGGTGCATAAGTCAGTAACCTAATGTTGAATACTGTAACCCAAACATACACACATGGAAGAGAACGAGTGCAAAATTTATCTATAACATAGTCATAAAGGTGCGAAAAACATCGAGACCCAAAACCCCACAGTGAAGAATAGTTTGATAGGTGGCTAAACAACAAAGAATATGGTCAATCCATTTGCAAATTGGCTGAAGAAATCTTGTCTATTACAAAGACCGCGATATGCAAAGCTTCAACCCAAAACTGTTTAAGAATTCCTGCATGAAACATCATTGTAAGACCCAATTCTACAATATTTTTATATTTCCTTTCAACTATTCCATTTGTTCAGGGGTTCATGGACATGATATCTATTACATAATTCTATTAGATGAGTAATGAATTATTTCTTAGCAAACTCACCAACTCCATCACATTGAAAAATACAAATTCGTTTATCAAATCTCCTTTCAACCATATGATGAAATTTCACAAATGCAAAAAAAAATTCAAATTTTCTTTTCAAATGATAAATCCAAAAAAAACGAGTGTAATTATCAACAAACACTACATAAAATCGCTAACTCTGATTAGATAAAGCTAGAGTAGGACCCAATAATTATGAATGAATATTAAAAGGATGTTCTGTAGAGGTTTTATCAGTACTACTAAACGAGAGTTTACAACTTTTCCCATCTGACAACTAGCATAAATAAAATATGACTTATTTTATGCATCAACATTAATCAACTCTTTAGATTCTAAGTAATAGACTACTTTATTTTGAAGATGTCCAAGTCGTTGATGCTACACATCTTCTAACATTCTTTTATTTCAATTAGAAAATTGATGCATATGAAAATTCAAAAAAAAAATATATATTTATTATTTTTTAAATGAGTTATCTCTTTAGGAATTGGTTGGGTGTGGCGTGTGTGAATGTTTTTGTTAGGGGTTAGGATAAGCTATCACTTAGTTGGTTGTAAACGAGATAAGTTAGGCATAGTTGGATTTTTCAGGATATACACTTGGGGGTACCTTGGGATTGTCTAAAATGTCCTGCCTTTATGGGCTTTACAATCTAGGAAGAGATTTTTATGGTGGATCCCTAGAGATTCACGTGATAAAATAATAGGGCGATGAAGAGAGGGAAAATAGGGAGAGGATAACGTGGAAGAGAGAGATATTATATTGTGGGTTTTTAATTTTTAAATTTTTTTTAGAAGTGTATTTAACAGGGGAACCCCTCATGGTAAAGATTAGAGAACGAGAATTGAATAAAATTTGATCTTGTGAAGATATCGTTTTTTGGATGGATTCTCTTGTAGACTTTGAGAGATGTTATATTCTCTCAACTTTTTTTATTTTTATTTTTATTGTTCCCATGTTATTTTCTCTATGCATAAAAAAATATTGCGTCATTCACATCCTCAGGTGAATAAAGTCCACATTTCTACTCCCGTTGGCTAGAGTTCTCCCTTTACTCATTTCTTTAATTAGAGTTATCATTTTTATGTCTCCATGTTGCCTTTCTAAAACTAGGATTCTTAAATTTTGTTTTTATTACTTGCAACATCGCATGAAGAAATGTGTGTGTGTTTTTATTACTTGCTATTACGTTTACTTTTAAGAGACAAGCTAGAAAGAGATCTAGCTATTAATATTATTCTGGCAAAGGGTGTATCTGTTAGGCCCAATAAAAAAAATAACACTAGAAATAATACCAAAAAATATTAAATAAATAAATAAATATACAACTTACTCGGATATATCATTAAGTCACAAGAGGGACTTAAGGTTCCATTCCAAATCCTATAGACCATGCTATCTAGTGACAGACAACTTTTTGAGTCATCTTTGGTGAATATCAGTCGCCATGCTTATCTCTTTTTCATCCTTCTCTATTCTTTTTTCTCAGTGATTTTTTGAGTGATTAACCTCTTTTTTATAGATAACACATTTCTTTTGTAACTCCCACATTCATGGTCCATAAGTGTTGAGATCGTAATGTAATTCCTGCCTTAATTCCCTTAAGTGCAGCTATAGGATTAACAAGTTTGTCACCAAACTGTTAATATTATATTATGAGCTGAACCTGTCATTAGTCCATTAATGACTCACATAATATGATGTCATCCAAGCATTCATACAATTTGATAAAAGCTATTTAAAAATTAAATATGCTTTGTATATCTATAATATAGAAAAAACAATTATTACAGGGAATCCAAACACAACACTGGGTTTTCCCTATAATAATACTTGATTATCCCTAAAGTGCAACATCCTATTAAAGCTAAAAAATGGATCCAAATACATTACATTTCTTCATGTTACCCATATGTGATTTCACATATACTATAACATCACTTTTGTACCATTATTAAAGAATAAATTCCAAGTGAAATGAGCTTGATAGGCCACATTTTCAACAGTAACGTGGAAGCTGTTATTATAGTTGTTAAAGAGTGTTAACTCCATTGTTTAATTGAAATTTTGTGTTTTAGGAGAATGTAATAAGATTTGACTCTGATTGGGCCAGTAATGTATGAACAACTCAGAGTATATAATATTTTTTGAAAATTTAAAACAATTCTAAAAATGCAGTTTGTTATATAATTTTTCATAAAATCTAGACTTTTTTTTCAGTAAAGATTCGTGAGAGTTTTTTTTTTTTTTATTATTTTTATCATGATTTATATTCTATATTTTCTATTTTTTTAAACTTTAAAAATGTCCTAAACTGTAAATCATTGTTTAAAAATGTATTTTTCTATAATTTTTAAGCTAATTTTAACTTTCTAAAATTGTTTTGGTTTTATATTATTTTACTAGTTTTTTATTTTATTCAAATTTTTTTTTTTATTTTGAGTATTTATTTAGGGCCTTTTGGCCCATAGTGCTCGGGGGCTAGGGGGGGTAATAGGTCGGGTATGGGTCAGGTCTGGCTGGACCCGGACCTAGACCCAAATGTATTCGGGTCCAGGTTTTGGACTCGGAACCGGCCCGTCGGGTCCAGAAGTTAGACTCATACCCATACCCATCGGGTCCTGGGTCTGGTCGGGTCCATTGCCACCCTCACTATGAGCTTCCTTTTTTTGTAGCCAACAATGGTGAACTACATAGAACTAATCTTTGAGGGGTGGACGATTAGTGAGAGAGAGAGATTCGAGATCCAAAGAGAGAGCTATGTTTCCAAGAAACTGAAAGAGGGAGAATTGTACAAAGGCAGGATGGCAATGGGGTTTGGCCGTTTGGGGAACTAGAAGAAGACGAAAAGTATTGAAATGATTTTAGAGATAAGACTTTGGTCTTTGGATAAACTAAAAATTCGGATCCGGATACCCATCGTTTCCGATATAGCCGGATCTGTACCTAAATCCGAACTATCCCAATATCTTTTATTGGATTCGGACCCTATCCGCGGGTCCAAAACTTGAACCCCTACTGAGTGTATGGGTCGGGATCCATTGGCACCCCCTATCGGTGGCCTAATGGCAGGAGTCCTTGTCGCGGCACATTGTTTTAGGATGCGCTAGTTTTGCAATTATATGTGCCTATGGATAGAAAAATTAAGATAAAAGTAGGGCATCGCGAAACCGTGTACGAAGCTAAAAAAAAAAAGCTAAAGGGCGTGAGACGTCATTTTCCGTGTACAAAGTAAAGAGAGTTTTTGTTTCTGAAATTGGAGGGGCATGGCGAAACCGCTGCTCTTTGCAATTCCGATCATTGGGAAACCATCTCCACTTTAACCCAACTCCACTCACTTAAATTTTTAATAATACGGTCACAAGAATCCTTTTCCGCATAAAATAAAAATAAATAAATAAAGAAAGAAAGCAAACATATGACAGTCCAAACCAGTCCCACGAAAAACCACTATATTAAACCACCGCGGTTTTAAGGGCCTCCTTTGCCACCATCCCTTCCACCTGTACTTTATTTTTATTTCATTTCGTTCATAATGCACCCAAATGCCCCACCTCTCACTCTCTCTCTAAAAACATGTTTCTAAATAACGGCCGTTATATGAAGGTCCATGCCCATTGCTTCGGACTTAATTTTCCAAATAAGACGTCCGATGCTATGACGATTACTTGCCACATTTCCTTTTGAATATTATTGTTAATTTTAGTTATGCGAATGTTTTCTTTTACTTATTTCTATTACTTTCCTTTTCTACAGTAGCGTTCCTTTTTCTAAAGTATGTAGCGTTGCAAACCACCCGATTTTATTTTTTCAGTGTTATTTTAGGATATAATGCAACTGTTTTAGTATAGGGTTGTAAGATAAATTTGTTCATCTTTTATTTAATTGAAAAAGTGTAGAATGAGACCATTTACTTTTACTATAAAGTGGTTACATTAACCTTGACTACTGAATATGAAATTGGGTGGATGTACCAAAATCAAACTTCAAAAAAAATTTATTCAAATTTTATGAGACATCTAAACTATTAAATTTCACATTGGATGGTTATAAGTAATTGTGATTACCTTGAAATAAAGGTAAATAGTCCCATTATATATAATTTTTATTTAATTAATAAAAAAATAAATAAAGGTATTCTCCCCCTTCCTACTTACTTATTCAAAAACTAAAAATAAAAAATAAAAATAAATAAGAAGATGCAGCCGAAGAAAGAGGGCATTGAGTTGAGATACGGACCGTTTACCTTTTATAAAGTGTTGCCGCCCTTTTTAACGGCTATCTCCGTTATCTGAACCTTGCTCTAAATGGTAAATTCACGATTTCCTCTCTCTTTCTATTAAATCATCTATTATTAAATCCCTGACAATAAATGGATAAGGATGAGATGGTGCAGCCGATTGTATAATTTCGAGGGGCCTACACGTGCCCATCCGATTCACATTGCACGTGTCAAGTCCACGAGAACAATCCATCCTCTCTCTCTCTTTCCCTCTGTTATCCACAAGAACAATCCATTCTCTCTCTCTCTAACTCTAAAACCCAAAACCGCCATTTGTTGACACTGTTTCAATTAAAAACGACACATTAAAGGATGTAGGGGTCCGTAACAAAGCTTCGCCATTTATAGAAGCGATCTTGTCTGTCCTCCTTTCATCAAAGATTTGAAGTCTATTTGCGGACGATTTTGGCCATGATTTTGGTGGCGATTGTGGCGGAGCTTTTGGAGGAGTACACGGTGGTTTTGGCTAGGGTTTTGGAGCAACTTATACACGAGGCGCCATTTCCAAGGAGAATGAGGTTTCTTATTCTAAGGAGCTTGCCTTTTATCTCGCCTCCGAGGTTAACAGGAATGGCTTAATTTCCCATCTTTTTTTTTTTTAATATGTTCTTTGTTTCTCTGTTTTTTTTTTTTTTACTTTTGAGTTTTCTTGTAATATATATTGTTTCTTTTTCCCTTTGCGGTTGTAGTCTGTGTAAATGAGCATGATTCAAGAAATAAATGAGCGTGATTTTTCGTTTATATTGGTTCTGAAAATTCGGGTTTTTTTTTTTTTTTTTCTTTTTTCTTAGTATGAGATCGTATAGGAAATGGTCTGCTTGTTCTATGTAATCTATATTCCATGGATCATATAGAAAAATGGGGGAATCTGAAATTTTTTGTTCTAGTCCCCTACTTTTGAGTCTTTTAGTTTTGTGTTTTTGTCTGTGTTGTGATCAAATTGATTTTCCGTAAAGAGATTGATTTATTGATAGCCTCAGATGTCTTGTTTTATTGGGTATTTTGCCGAAGGGCCAAATAAACCTTATTGCATACTGTAGCTTGCACTAGATCATGATAGATCAGAAAGGGTAGTTTTGGCAATCACCGGGGGCGTTAAAACTTGAGCCCATGGTTTTGAATGGATTTCTGTGTGCTTTCACTAAATTGCAGGTTTCAAGGGGAGGGCTACAAAAAAAGCAAAAGCAGCGTCTCAGATCTAGTGTTGAATTCCGGGTCGGGTCGACGTCCCTTTGCCTTAGTCAGTGGCATTTTTGGCGTATCAAGAATAAAGGGTTTATTTTAAATTTCCGGGCAAAAAGGGTTTATTGAAAGGGTGTGGTTTCTATCAGTTTTCCAACACTCGCCCCAAAAAAAAAAAAAAGTTTTCTAACACTTGGATTTCACAGTCTGACGTCCAAATATGGTTTCTATCCAATTCCAAGATGTTGTTTTTTATTAAAGTATACAAGGATGCAATTAGATTTTTTTTTTTTGTTTTAAAAAATGAGGAGGTTACATCTCCAAAGTGTCCTAAAACAAAATGTAGGTGGGGTTTTGCGTGAGGGAAATATCTGTTGTCTTTTATTTTCGATAACAATCGTTGTTTAAACAATGTTATTAATTTGTGGCCACACTAAAGCAAAGCAGTTAGAGTTTTCAATTGGTGCGGGGTTGCGACACGCGAGAGTGCACGCAGCTGCAGTCCACGATGACTTTTCATGATCAACTTCCCAATTATAAGACCAATGAGAGGTGCGTTATATAATAATTTACATGCATGTGAAATTTGGCAAATAATGCATTGTTTCACGTTTCATATTTTACACATTTGTTACTCTTCCGAGTCCCATGTCTTTTGATAGTAATCTGAAATTAAATGTAAAATTTTAAATAAAGGTGCGGTTTCCATATGTTCACAACCTTAAACAATCCAATTAAGGCATCTCTCAATCTCTAAATCCAAGCTTCTCTGTAGAATCAGAGGGGTTCTCAGTTTCTAGAGAGGGATTTTTTCACCGATCCTTATTGTGCTGGGGATGCACTTCTTGACTATTGGGAGCTTGAATCTAGACTCTGTTTTCACGAGATTTTGCAGCAAAAATATGGCAATTTCAGTTATTAAAAATCTTCTACCAAAGAAAGTATGTTGTAAATGGGAGCCATGATTTTGTTTCCCTCTTTGTTTGGATGGTTATCCAGTAAAAATGGCAAGATGGATGGATGGATGCAAGGGCTGGTAAGTATGGTGAGCTATTAATTCGCATGAACTGTCGTTCAATGCATCTCTCTCTCCCATCGCAGCTTGATTTAATCCGCGATTGGCGATGAAAACGATCACTGACTCGCTGGTTCTCTCCTCAGTCTTTCACTCGCATCGCAGATGGGAGGCGAGGAGACGAAGAGGTCCTTCATCTTGCGGCTTAGAATCGCCGTGTTTTTTGACGACTCGAATCGCTCTCTGGCATACAGTACGAAATACTCGGCGATCTGTGGCGAGATCCTCGGCCATTCCCCAAATTGCACTTCTTGGAATGGGCTATGGTGGGGTTAGGGCTCACTGCTATGCCGCACGATGTGGCCAGGATTTTGAACTTGGTCAGAGTCGCCATTGCTGCTTGCTGAGAGCTCCTTCTCTCTCTCCCTCTAAACGCTGCTTATTTCTCTCTTTCGCTTTACCAGTCTCTCTCTAGAATGTTACTGCTTATCGTTTCTCTTTCTCTAAGAAATGTACCTTCCTCTTTCTGTAAGTATGATGAGCTATTAATTCAGATGATCTGTCTCTCTCTCCCAAGCTTTCTCTCTTAACAGAGTAGCCTCTAGAGATCAGTTATTTTATCTTGAAAATCAAGAACTTGAAGATGGGTTGAGCATCACTTTCTCTCTCTAGCAAGAAAGCTCGAGCCCCACTTTCTTTATCTAAGAAGGAACCCCCTTTCTCTTTTGAAGCAAGACACGCGTACAAGCCCCAAAAAAAGATTGCCCTTAGTGTGTGAGGGACGCATAATTTCATTTCCCTTATCTCAAAATCTATTTTCATATTTAATTATAAATTTTTAAACTGTAAAAATTATTGAAATCAAGTAGATATATAAACATATGAAAATCTTGAAAATTGATGGTCTAGATGATGTGTTGTAAGATGCACTATTTTTAAGATTCAAATTTTTTTTTTCTTTCTATTCATACATACATCTAGATGTCGAGATGATCAATTAGAGATTTCTTCAACATTAAAACAACATTTTCAGATGGATATTTGAAGTGCATATATGTAAGTCTACATTTTAAAGTTGCAATCTTAAGTAAACTTATCCCTTTAAATAATTCATATTTTTATTATTGTCTTGATGGATTTTTTATTTATCTGGGCTCGAATACTATGAGATCATTTACTTTTGGTCTAAGAAGGTTACAATTATTCTTAGCTATTGGATATGATATTTAACACATTGAAGCGTGTCACAACATTTGAGAAATTTTATTTTGGACATTGTGTCTAGTCAACTGTTATGTTTTTATTGTATTCGTTATTTAATAATTTTTTAAAATAAACTTTCAACTTTTTATTGATCTCGTCGTCTTTCACCAGACCATTTGATTTCACTTTTAATACATTTAATATGGTTTAGAAGGGATAGAATTCGAAATGAATCAATTCGAAAAAATTTACGTATGGTATCAATAGAGAATAAAATGAGAGATAGCAGAATTAAGTGGGCTGGCCATGTGCAGTGTCGATCCAATACAACATTTGTTAGGTGGTGCGAGTTAGTTCAAGTGAAAGGATTGAAAAAAACAAATGGTAGGTCTAAAAGAGCATAGTTGGAAGGAATATAAAAAGATAAGAGAGTTTTTGATATCATGGAAGGTATGGCCTTTAATAGAGCAAAGTGAAGTATCAGGATTCATGTAGTCGATCTCAATCAATTGGAAAAATGCTATGATGATGATGATGATGATAATGATGATAACATTGTGCCTAGTAAGTGAAAAATCTCCAACCACTCGATTTCACCTCTAATAGTCAATAATAGTTGTGATCTCATTGTATCAAAAATAAATACCCTTATTGTATGCATTTCCATTTATTTATGATAATTTATATACTTTTATTTTGTTTAAAAATCGTTAATATGAATTAAAATAAAAGATTAGAAAGTTTAGATTTCCATTTATTTATAATAATTTATATAATTTTATATTATAAATATACTTTATTTAAAAATCATTAATGTGAATTTAAATTAAAGTTTAGACGGTTTAGGTGAGATGCGAGTCCAACTTTCCTTGCATTTAGAAAGAATCCAAGAAATTGTTTGAGCCTACTTTGTTTATTGAGAAACTGGGAGTAGAGTTTAAGTACTAGATCGATTGAGTTGGAGTAGAGTTTAAGAACTAAATTGAAGATAGATATAACAATGTTATTGATTGAATGGTTAGATCTACCGATAAATTTATTTATTTATCAGTCCTCTTAGCCAGTGAATTTATAAAAGGAAATTTTTTAGGGAAAATTTTATATAAGGTCATGACTTTAAATATGGTGCCCATAAAAAATCCACTAAAAAAAAAAGTGTTTTGAAGTCAGGAAGTTTTCTAATTGATCATCTCAACCTCGAGATGTATGAATGTAAAAAAAAAAAGATGATCAAATTGTAAAAAATAATGCATCATATAACAAGTTACTTAGACTGTCTATTTTCAAGTGTTCATAGATCTGCTCAATTTATACCTTTTTTTTGCAGTTTTAAATTTCATAATTAAAGTTGAACATAGATTTCAAGCCATCATAATGTTTTCGATATCAAAACTACATCTTAAAACAAATTCTAGAGGTGTACATTACTTGTATAATATAAAGTGGTCTATTTAGACAAACAAACCATTTTGAAAATTAACAGAAACAAAAAAAAAATTCTCTGACATTCAAAATCTCGCCATTGTGTGCACCGGAGAAGTGAATGGATTTAGTTATTTGAAAAGGTGTTGGATATTATGAGACCATATATCTTTGTTACAAGGAGGTTACAATTGTTCCTAACTAAAATTGGATGTCTTGGAATGTATTCAAAGTTTGAGAACTTCTTTTTGAACTGAGTCTAATCAACGATACATTCATAATCACTCAATATGAAATTTGACATATAAAAATAATTATGACCTACTCGTATTAAAAGTAAATAACCTCATTACGTACCTTTTCTCTTTGAACATGCTCTGCCCTTTTGAGCTTCCCATTACCATAATTCGTAACTGTAGAAATTTCAACAAGCCATGATCATAAAGTCTTGCAGAATTTGAATTGAAAACCAAGATTAAGGTCACTTAATTATGACCATGTTGGAATATTATTATTCCGTGCATATATCGATCGTCCAAAAGCAAGAAGTCCAAATCAATTCGATCATTCCTAGTCAATTGTATTAGCAGTAAAGACTCCATTTTTTCTGTCAAAACGGCGACATCTCCACGCCATCCTGGCACGTTTTTAATATATTTTTATCGTTATCATGTCAGAGGACTAAAGACATACGGTCCACTCAATAACTGGCCACGCTGAAAAGCCCTTTGGTTGACTATCTTGTCCTCATAACGTGTGGTCATGAGCAAAAAATTGATTTCAAAGTTTTGGATACAGTGTATATTAACATGTATTATTTGGATCGTCTATTTTTAAATATTTATAAGTTTTATTTGATTTATAATATTTTTAGAGCTTTAAATTTTACAATTAAAAACAAAAATAATTTTTTAAGCCATCACAATTCACAAAGTTTTTAGCACTAAAACTACATCTTTTATTATGTTTTAGACGCGCGTTTTATGTGGATTGTTTAATATTGATACCTTATACAAACCACAACATGTGAAAGAAACTCTAGTATTTGTAAAATCATTTAAATGATTTTCTATTATCAAGTAGAAGATGTTTAGGTATGCTAGCTTTTATTGGGGACAATATTCAGGTTTTCCACATTCGATTATACACTAGGGTAAAAGATGTGAACTCTTTTGGGACAATATTCAAGTTTTCGACATTGGATTACACTAGGGACTTTTGGACTTACTAGACATTGCACATTTTTGCAGTCCATTCAAACATTGTACATTTTTGCAGTCCATTCAAAATTTTTGGTGGAATAATATCGATATCAATTTTGTTCAATCTTTTATTGTCTTTTGGTCAAGTTCTACAAGAATTGGCGTCCCCCCCTCCAAAACAAAAAAAAAAATCACTTAGCTTTTGTACAATCATTCTTATTCTTTAGATTTCAAAATAGGTGGTCGTAAGAGTGTTATTGACTAGACACAAAATTCGAAAGAAAAAATATCTAACTTTGTGACTCATCCCAAACCATCAAATTTGACATTTAATAAGTGAGAATAATTATGATTTCTTTCTACAAAAAGTAAAAGGCCTTTTTCTAGACAATCCCTTATTTGATAAACTTATTACACATCGATCCATAGTTTTTTCATTTATCAATGAAGCAAATAATACAGGCCGTCATGCGGCAATTTCACATCTCTTTCTTCACCCAAACTCCTTCACCCGAAGTGTGAATAGGTGTGTGATTGAAACCGTGTCATTATTGTCAACCACCAATTCTCTATTGCGATAACCGGGAAAATCCCATTTGGAATCCTAATAATAAATTAAAACTTCAATACGTAATATTTAAGGATGAGGTTAAAGGATGAGGTTTCTACAAGGCTTAGGGTTTATGAAAACAAAATAAACTTCATCTTAAATCTTCATCCGGAAAGCACTTTCCTCAACCGAAATCTCTATGATGGCTCTAAAATCAAGTTCCAACACCGACGATGAAATTCAAAACTTAAAAAATAGTACATATCTTGCGGATCTATGAACAACGATCTAGATAATTTGCTATAATATATACTATTTTTAGTGTTTGAAAATCTTTTTTTCTTTTTTCACAACCATAATGTTTAAGCCAAGATAATTGATGTAAACATTTTCAGCTGTTTGAATTGCAATTTTCATGAGTTATGAAGTGAGGCTTTACTTCTTTTGATAGAGATGCAGCCCTATCAAACCAGTTTCCATATCCAAAACCCGAATCCTAACCAAATTTTCAATACTCGTCTAAGGGCGAGGTTTGTATAAGGCTGAGGCCCTAAACAATTAAAAAAGCCACACCTTTAAATAAGTCAAAAGATATTGTTTCAATTCTAGAAATCTTTGTGATGGCTTGGAAATTTATGTTTATCTCCAATTATATATATTTTACGAATTTGCATATAGTAATGTGATTGCAACCGAAACCATCCTCAATTTATATTATGGTATCAATATTTAAATTAAAAAATATGCCAAGGCAGAGACCATTTATTCACATTATACGGTAAAATCAAAACAGAATTGATGAGCATGTGACCTAAACTTTGTGAACGAATGGCAGTACCATTTTCCAAGTCTCATGCCAAGATCTGTTAGGCAAAAACTCTAGAACATTCAAATCACATGGGTGCATTTGCTTATAAACCATAACTACATAGAGCATAACTAGAATATCAATCACACCTCAAAATAAGCAAAGGAGTTTGGAGTTTTAGAGAGAAGAGAGAGGATGCTGCATGATAAACCTTTTCAATGCCCTTCAAAATTCAAGTAAAAGAGTCTATAGACAATATCAACCAGACCCAAAATATGTATCAACAACGGTGCTTATACAAGATTATGAGACGTTTTTGAACAATAAAAGTATGAAATGAAAAAGATAAGTACAATAAGAAGACCATTAGTTACACAAAAAAACATGTCTC